ATAAAAAAAAGTTAATTAAATAGAATGGAAATGTATTTAACACGGTTGTTTTCCGTGGCAAAAATTATAATTTAAGCACATTTATTAACTGAACATTTGTTGTTATTGAGCTTGAGGACGTTATTATTGAAAATGTTTGTGGAAAAACTAGGCCAGAAAATAACAAAATCAAAATATTGGAAATTTACTTTAAGGAGCTAAGGAGCAAATGAATTTTTTTAGCTCTTTGCTCCAGCTCCGCTCCAGCTAAAATCCTTTGCTCCTTAGTTCCTTGCACCTTTGCCCCGCTCCGCTCCGAAGCCCTGGTTAAAACAGAAACCGGAAGGAATTACAACACTCGAAATCGCGAAATGAAATGCGGCCAACATTCCACAGCACACCAACAGGAAGGCATAAAGTCAAAATGACAAACGAAACGAGCCGGCTATGGCACGAGGCGGTTAAATTACATTAGGGCGTTTCAAATTAAAGATCCCTCAGAGAATTGTGAGCAACATAAGTGCGCAAATGAATGAGGCTTATTGAGGGTGTCGCATTAGCAGTTCGTGCACATACGCGCACACACACACATTCATATATTTATGTAAAACACTTAGCAAGAGGGCCGAGGTAACTGAGCACTTGTGATGGATGCACTTTAGGTGTTCAATTGCAATGTGGCAAGGCGAGGGGGAAGCATCAACACTCATCGCGCGTTAACGCGACAATGTCAAATTTGACTTTTATGTACATATGTATGTATGCTCGACAATGTACATTGTGGTATGCTTGTTTTTGTTTTGCAAGTGATATTAGCATATGGTTGGATGTAGAATGATTACACAAATGTTCATGTATGGAATTTCACTTTGGGGAATTGGCTAGATAGTCATATAATTGTCGTTGGAAATAGTTAATTGTAATTGTCGTTTCGGTTGTTGTTGCTTCTGTCAGCAATAATAGTTGCTGACAGATATGCGTGTTATTCACTTATGTAGATATTTTTCTATGGTGCACATTTTCCGCGGAAGTGTGAAAATATGAGTACGCAGGGGAATAGACCGCAACAGACAGGCCACAGCTGATAGCAGTCTCTCGAACTGCTGTTAAGCTGGCAGCAGTCTTGGGAACTCCTATTAGCCGCTGAATTTCTGGATATTTTCCGGGTGTTTTTTCTTAAGGGTCAGCATCTCTAGCTCTGTGCGCGTATTTCGACATCCCTCTTGTTTTTAATGTTATGTACGTCGAAATTTTTCTTTCTCAACTCTAGACAGAAGCGTCTTGCTTTAGGCAGCGCTTTTCATCTCTCTGCCGGTTGAACATTCTTCGTCGTACCAGTTATAGCTGCGGGGGTCATTGATATCCAATTACTTCCTCAGCAGCGGTACGTATGAAGCGAGAAATGTCATTGCATGTCAATTTAATAGGTTATCCAAGAGATGGTATGAAAGTTGGAACCTAATTCTGAAGACTACTATGTTTCGCACCTCGACAAGTCAACTAGCCTGAATACGCTAACAGTGGTCTCGTCGTGTGGGCTAAACTTTCCAACCGTACCTCCATATAATTTCATGGGAATGAACGGACAGCTCATGGTTCTGACGAGGACATCAATCAAACGGTCTGAGGCTTTTAAGGGAGTGAATTTTTTCTTCTTTTTTTGTAGCGGCAAAGTCGGTTTGTCCATAAATCATTGTGGTCAACTCAACTAACGGTAGGCTTCGAAAACGTGCTGCTTCGACGAGTGTAAACTAGAGCAATAGGGGTGTCTGAGTAGGCTTTAGTGGGCACGTGAAGAGTTGATTGGCGTGGCAGGGGGAATCTCCACATGCTGGACACTCATTGGGTATGTAGCGGTCGCGTCTGGATAGGTAGGAGTTCAGACAGCTACAGTATCCAGACTGAAACTAGGCCAGAATGGGACTGGGCATTCCAAGTACATGCTCTCAAATCGTAGTCCTTCAAACCTATGTCCTGCGCGTCACATTCGAGGCTTGAACAATGGTTTCGTTGGAGTGGGCTTTCGCGTGGTGGGTCTCAAAAATTTAATGGATACGTTTAAGTATATAGCAAGCCACACCGGATTGCAGTCGTACATAATGATGAATAGACGTGGCAGACTTAAGGGAACCCTTAAACTGAATCGAAGAGTCTCCGCTATAGCTCGCTTTTAGCTATGTTACGGGTTGAGTACCACATGGCTTGCTCACGTTGTATAGTGGGAAATTATCGACTTATTTTGTTCAAATAAGGCTAAAACGGATTTTAGAAAAGGAAGTCTAGGCCTTGATTTTTATCAGCAAATAGTGGAAGCCGAAAAATTAAAGATATGATTAAACTAGAAGTACTAGTTTCTTGGTGACAAATTTCAGATTTTAAATTTGGTAAACTAGTTTTCTGAGGTCTTTGAACTCGATTCTGACGAAATTCAAAATGGCCGATTTAATATGGCACATTTTATCTACTAAAATGCGAAGGATAAGAGTTTTGGATAGTATCCGCCTTTTTGAATCTGCCATAAAAACGTTTTTATTACCTTCAAAATCTTAAATTTATCATCAAAAACATATCGAGCCCTAACCGCCAAAATAACGTAAGCGACATTTTTTTCAAAATTTTGTTTTTGATGCAGAAATATTCCTAGAGTATCTAGATGCGTTTCTGCATTAAAAATAAAATTTTGAAACAATGTCGCTCACGTTATTTTGGCGGTAAGGGCTCGATATTACTTTTTTTGACGGTCTATCTGTTTTTAATTTTCCGACTTTCACCATATGCTGATAAAAATCTAAACCTGTTTTTAAATTTTGGCTTGGACAATCTTTTCCAAAATCCATTCCAAGTACTTAAAAAACAGCCTTTTTTGAACAATAGTCGACAATTTCCCACTGTGCGTTGCCCAGAGCTCACGAGCATAGACGCAAGAGTAGAAATTGACATAGAGTCAAGCAACTAAAACTTCGTATCCAGATGCTCCTCCATACAGTATTTCTCCCTATGCTACTTGCTGATTTTTTGGAGTTTTCGTGTTCAATTGTGTGTCTTCCAATTGGCAGACGATGATTCATCTTTTCAAGCCAACATTTTGAATCCTTCAAATTGTATTCTATGAAACATACATATATGTATGTATGTATGTATCTGCGGAACTTCGCAGTAGGCCCGTTTACAAAAGAGCGGCTCTTCTTAAATCAATTTCGTACATGGTATTTACATAACTATGTAAAGGCAGACTCGACAGCGTCTGTATTTTGGTTAATGACCCAGATCTAGTTGTTAACGCTGACAGCTTTGTTGCAGGTACATACATACATAGGTATTTATCGTATCGCTGGCTGATCATCAACACGATGATCAGCCAGCTTGTCGTTGATCTTGTACGAGTATAGAGAGACAGGCAATCACAATTAGAACCAATTCAAAAACTGACATTATCGAGAATGCGCGCACATTTGCAAGCCTACACATAAGGATTTCCCTCATTTGGTATTTGTTAAGGTACTTTTGTCGACACGGTTATATGTATGCATCACCGACTACATTATAGGTTATGCTCTCTACAGTAGAGGTGCAAAACTATCGATGGCACTATCGATAGTATCGATGTTTTTTATTTTTCCCTACTATCGATTGTTTTTTGGTCCTATCGATAGTCCGACAGACATGTGATTCAGTATTTATTTTAGTTTTATTTCTTCTTTTCTTTTCATTTCTCTTAAACATCCAAGTTGCATCTCTTAAAATACTGCTAAAAACTGATACAAATTAATTTATACCAAAACTTCCAATATTATCTATGCACCACTATTTACTATTTAATAAAAGGTAGATAAAAACCATTACTTCTCAGATAAAAAATGTTTTCTTCTTCTAGAATTGAAATTTACTTGATGAATGCCATATATGTGACGGAGGATATCGAAAACCACAAATATAAAATTTCAAAATTTTATTCCATTTCAATTCATTTCAAATTTTCAATAACTTTACTTCTTACTTAACGGTTAAACAATTAAAAAAAGTGTACAGCAGTTACAAGGTTATCGAAACGTAATTTCGGAATATATTCTTAAGGAAATCTTCATACGAAAATTGAGCCAAAACCATATAAATACGATACTATCGACGATATATCGATAGTTTTGAAAATAATATCGAAAACTATCGATGGCCTGACTATCGAGTTTTGCACCTCTACTCTACAGTAGTCTTAAAAACAAAAAGCACGGTCAACCAACAGCAATGAACGAATGTTTGCCTTTTACTTGCTGAGTGTTCCATCATTCAGCTCAGCAATGGCTTAAGCAATATTGTTGTCTCCACCATCCACCATCCATAACCGTAGTCGAAGTGAGGCCGTTGCCGTTGCCGTTGCCATTGCCGTTGCCATTGCTGTTTTGTTTAGTGAATACTGCTAGTTGCCACTGGTGCTGTTGTTGTTTTATTTCTTTTTTCTGTCGTGTGAAATTTGATATCTTCAAAAGAGCAGCAGCAGCCACGGCAGCATTAACTACAAAGCCAACAACAAACAACAATAACTGCTGCATACAAAGCCATGTACATACCTACATATATCTATTCGAAGAACGATTTTGACGATTGAGGCGCAATAAATGGGTTGATAATGGAATTTTGGTGGGGTCGTGTACGGGAAGGGGAGTGAGCGAGTGTGAGTTCTTAACGCTGTTAAGTCGTTTATGTACATACATATTTGTTGTTGTGAGGATGTTGATGCTAGATATGATAATTTCTATGGATTTTATCACAGCGTTGCCATTAGCAATTCTCTTTTCAATGGCAACAATTTGATTGGTATTAACCGAAACGTAATTATTTTATGACAGTGCTGAGAAAAACATTTTTTTTTCTTTGCTTTCAACGCGTTGCAATCGGTCGACAAGAGTTTGAGTTTACAAATAGAAAGCATTGCCCCAACAAATTAGACTGAACCAATGCAAATTAAAATAATTTCCTTTTCTTTCCTTTTTTGCAAAACCTTCTCCTAACACTTTTCTCGTTCTTCTCGTTGCAGTGGCGCATCGGACAAACAACACTTGGATTCATCCAGCGATTCAGAGATGGAAAGTTCTTTGCTACAGCAAACGCACATAGCAACCAATAATAATCATCACCATCAAGCGCATCAACACCAATCGCCCCATCACCAGCATCCCGCTGCGCATGCGCAATCACATCAGCCACAATCACAGCAACAGCAAGCGCAACAATTATCCCCGACAACGACGCTCAATAATCACCATCATCATCATCACCATCACCACCATGCCGCCGCAGCCGCTGCAGCTGCAGCAGCAGTTGCCGCACAATTACCGCAATCGCATCACACCAGTGCAGCGACGAGTATGGAACAAACGCATCATCAGCACCCGCACAGCTTAAACGCCACACAATTAGTGGGTCTCTCGCCCACCTCTGTTAGCTCAGGTGGAGGTACGAGTGGCGGCGGCACACTTAGTTCAGCAGCTGTTGCAGCAGCAGCCGCTGCCGCTGCATCGTCTACGAGTAGTAAAAATGGTAATAATGCTGCTGCAGCAGCAGCCGCAGCGGCTGCGGCTGGACAAATGGCGCCACTATCGGTCGCATATCCGCACCTGCACAGCGTCATGGGTTCGATACCCATCTACGATATGAGCGAATATCAGCATTTATGATTCTAGTTGGAAACATCGGCAGAGTGGATGACCAACGCAGCAGTGGCGGCGGCTGCGGCGGGGGTCACTCAGCGCACAGCAGTAAATTCAGAATCGGATGCAAGTTCGGCGACGACGGTGACGTCAGCAGCTGCAGCAGCGGCGGCTATGCGGCAAGAGTTGCAACAAACGACGAATTTTTACTATTAAGTGCTTCGGCTATAACTACATAGCAGGTACATAGATAAATGGCGGAGGTCACCAGTGATACGAAAGTTAATTGCCACCCCAAAATAAGAGTGTGCGCTTAGAGCTTTGCGTGCTGCACTGACAAATAGAATTTGATTGACAAGCGGAACAGCTGTTTACTTGCAGTTTGCTAACAGAATGGTCCGAAACGCCGTCGAAATTTTGGCCGCTATCCCTGTACGATGTGAACTGCGCGCAGAAAAGTTAAACAATTTGAAGTTTCAAGAGGAAAACCTAGATTCCGACTCTTATGTACATACTATGTATTTCGTATTCTGTATGGTAAAAAAAGAAAGTTGCATGAATTTTGTTGGCAATATATCCAAAAAAATTTAGTAGATACAAACAAATTGCAAATGCATGCATCCATGCATAGCAAGTAAATGTAAGAAGTTATCGTAATATGAAGCAACATGAAAAACTGAATTTACGAATATAAAATGTGTAAATGTTAACAATTGAAAAGCTGTAAAAATACATAATTAGGGTATTCCCAGAAAGTATGACAAAAAACAGCACAAACTTCGAAAGTAAACTTTTTTTCAGCTGTCAAAACATGTACGAAAACTATTTTACAGAAACAAGTTTTTCGAGTTTAATGGAATCACCCAACTGTTTATGAATTTAAATAAAAGATGTATTATAAGCTATTAAACAAACATACGAGGACATATCGTACCTATGCTGTACGAGTGGCATACTACAAAAATAAATTTTGCGGGTAGTCTGCAGAAATGATCGCAACCTTTTCTTCTATGTTGTGTAAAAATTGCATAGCTGTATCGATTAATCATTAAAAAAATGCCTTCTTTTAACAAGGGGAACGTACATTCATATGTATGTAAACAGTAAGCTTTAAAGCCGTTTTTCTAGAGATTTTGATTTTTTTCGGATTATGACACCCTTGCAGCAAACGTACGATATATGTACATATGTATGTATATGTAAGTAAATATTTTGTAAATAGAGGCAATTCGAACTAGGCTTAGGAAAATATTAAACATAATATCGAATATGTGCAAATTAAAATCATATTTTTCTTGTAGTTTTTAATTTTTGTTAAACTATCGAATATTTTAAATTATTTAAATATATTATGAATTTACTAAAAACAAGTTTAAAACACCATGCTGATAAAACAAAATCTTTAAAAATAATAAAATTTTAAATTCTGCAAAATAATAAAAGTCAGTGAATCGTTATTTTTTCTATTTGATTTAGATGGACATCACTATACCACAGTTACACACAAAAAATCAATTCCTCCTTTTTCAACAGAAAATATTATTTTGTTCAATCCTACAGAAAATTCTCTTTAATTTGGTACCATTTTATAATTCTACAGTGTAGTGAAATTTAAAAAATTTTTTTTTAATCGATCATAACCTTGAAATTTCAAAGTCAGCGGGAAATAACGGAAAAATTCTAGCCGCGGCGCGAAGTATAATTAGTCTGTTCCTTTGAACTTCGGACTAAAACCTCAGTTCCACAGGTCAAACTACAACTCTCAAGCGAAAATAAAAGGAGAACAGATGCAGAAGTGCACAGGAACGCAAAAAGCACTATTTATTGTAAAAACGTCAGTCGGTTTGTTTACATGTCATTTGTACAACACTGATTTGGCTGAAATATCACTAACTAATTATTACAATCTATACATATTCAAATATTTCGTTGTTTACTTCCAATTTTTTTACAAATATAAGGTCCTTTGCTGAACAACTCTGAAAGCTGTGGAGAAGACGAACTCCGAGCTGAGTTGATAAGGTACATGCATCAACTATTATGCAGAATATGGTCAGATGAACGCATTCCCGACGGCTGGAATTTAAGTGTGCTCTGCCCAATCCACAAGAAAGGTGACCCCGCCATACACGCCAACTACCGCGGGATCAGCCTTCTAATCATAGGTTACATGGCCTTACGAGTGTATTGTGTGAAAGACTGAAGCTCACCTTCAACAAACTTCATGGACCTTATCAGTGTGGATTTAGCCCTGGCAAATCCACCATAGACCAGGTATTCACAATAAGCCAAATCTTGGAAAAGACCCGCGAGAATAGGATCGACACTCACCACCTATTTGTCGACTTCAAAGTCGTTTTCGATAGCACTAAAAGGCACAATACGCCGCGATGTCTGAATTTGGCATACCCGCGAAACTAATACGGCTGTGTAAAATGACGATGAGCAATACCACCAGCTCCGCCAGAATTGGGAAAGGCCTTTCCGAGCCGTTTTCTACCCTACGGGGTTTCAGACAGGGCGACTCCCTTTCAAGTGACTTCTTTAATCTAATGTTGGAGAAGATAATAAGAGCTGGAGAGCTGAACCGCTTAGGAACAATTTACTACAAAAGCGTGCAATTGCTGGCTTATGCCGATGACATCGACATCATCGGCAACAAAAACCGCGAAGTCTGTTCTGCCTTTTCCCAAGTTGGATAATGAAGCAAAGCGAATGGGTCTTGCGGTCAACGAGGACAAGACGAAGTATCTCCTGTCATCAAACAAACAGTCAGCGCAGTCGCACTTGGCACCCACGTCACTGTTAACAGTTATAATTTCGAGAAAGTAGAAAATTTCGTTTACTTGGGAACCAGCATTAACACCGATAATAGTGTCTGCATGGAAATCCAACGCAACAAAACCGTTAGATTTTGTTACCAGTTTACATATAGACCATACACAGTAGTCAAAATCATTTAGATCGGTGCTTTATAAGGCATATCTTCCAACACTGATTGTTCAGTTATGAGATCTTTTATATAACTCATCCATCTATGTACATATGTTACATATACAATTTTTTTTTTAGCTCCCAAACAACTAATTTCAAATGCAGTAATCGGTTGAAGTATAATTTTCTGAGGTTCATGAATGAAGCCCTCGACATAGCACTGCCATTACTTGTTATTTTTTATGATTTCAGCTTTAGTTAAAGAAAAATGTCCTTAGTATCTACCCTGTGGGGAAAATCTCTAGTTCTGAACTGGTGCGCTTCTAGTACATTTAGACCCAGTACTGGTTCGCGATAAATCTCTTTTGCATGCAAGCAACTGGCGAATTTAACATGGCGATGTCCTAGGAAGTGTCAATTGCCCCCCCGCTGCACCCCTTTTTCGATAGTTCCGAACTAGTCCTAAATTCTATAGTTCCGAACCAGTTCTAAAATCGACAGACGAAAGAAAAAAGTATCATGATTTTTCAATGTTTTCGGTTCTTCCGTGTGCGATTTTACATTATTTTCAATTTGAAATTAAATTTGTTTGAATGATTGTAAGAAATGTACGTTTACATACCTTGCTGTAGCTGACTTTGCAGAGGTGCTCGCTGTTATTGGTTAGATTCCAGATGGCCCCAAAATGTTAATATGTTGACACAAAGCTTTGTTTTGTATTACCAAACTATGAAATAGCATCTGCGAAGCACAGAATAGAAGCGTATTTGAACGAAAAAGCCGCCGAACACATATCTATGTAAAGTAAACAAGCCCGCTGCATCCCTTATTCGATAGTTCCGAAATAGTTCTAAATTCGACAAATAGGATCTAGTGCGTTCTGCATCCCTTCTTCTATAGTTCCGAACTATTTCTAAATTCGTCACTTTGGATATAGATTTGTAGTGAAAAAAATTGTTTCTTAAAAGTACCACTTTTCGCCGATTTTGGCCGGGTGGGGATCTAGTTCCTATCGGACTAGTTCCTTTTTGGGGATAACGACCTAGTACGGAACTAGAAATTTGATTCACTAGTCCGCGGTTTCCCTGCAGGGTAGTAAATTTCTGATCATGTTTCTTTTTCTTTTTTGGCATTGCTGGGGACGAAGCCAGATAGTTTTCTGCACGCATTTTTACGCACTATACGATCTTAGAAAAGTTCGAATATTAAAATTTTTAATTTAAGTCAATTCTAGAAAAGAGAAGCAAACATATTAACACCAAAATAGGATTTAAAAAAAAAAAAACAAATGAGTTTATCCTAGGTCGAAGTGTTTTTAAATCTCGTATGTTACAATACTTTTCTAATGAATGAGACAAAACGACACTTTCATTCACAAGCAGGCAGTAATTTCTTGATTGCAACAACGCGCTTACGATGAAATTTTTGTATGAAACCACAAAGAAAAAAAGAAAAAGGCCAAAACAAAGCAATAAGTAGGTGTTAAGCGGAAGAAATCCGCTTAGAGGGTAATTTAACAATTAATAGAAAATAACAGAGGAAAAAGGGCTGATCTCTTCACGCCATCCGCTACATAAATATGTATGTGTGTAAGCATATGTGGCGATTAGGCCTCTCATATGTACATTGGCATACTTCCATGCGATTATAATCGGAGAAATGTCCAATGAATGAATGAATGTGTATAGTACATATGTATGAGGTTTATTTTCTATTAACGGTTTAGATTTGAAAGTCGTTGTTGTAGGTTACACATGTACATACATAAATACTTCAGATGGAAATGGAAATTTTTAATAAGAAAATTAAAATGGGTTTGCAAGATTGCTTATAATGCAAGGTTTTGTTGGGCAAAGGACAACACCTCTCTTCACTGGAAGTTAAAAAGAATTACAAAAAAATCTACATATGTCGCTTTATTTGCATAAAACTTTGTATGACTAACTGCTGGTTTCACCAGCAATTTATGTGAAAAATATTTTTTTCCCCTGTCAATTTGCTTATCAGGTTTTGCCGATTTTTTATTTTTATTTTTTNATGTATAAAAGTTCGTGATTTTATGCACTGCTTTTCGCTTTATTTGCATAAAACTTTTTATGACTAACTGCTGGTTTCACCAGCAATTTATGTGAAAAATATTTTTTTTCCCTGTCAATTTGCTTATCAGGTTTTGCCGATTTTTATTTTTTTATTTTTGTAATGAAAAGAAATAAACTCTCAAGGGAATGAGGAACTTGGTCTTGGATAGAGTCGTAGTCGGCGTTACCACAGTGAGAAGTATCTGAGACTTATCCTGGGGGTGCCTAAGATCAACGTACACCATGATGGTATAACCTAAGAGGCAGTGGCTTGAGGTTGATACATACAGCAAGGCGTCGAAGAGTACCTCTTTTATGGAGAGGCAAGTCCAAATGAGCGCACTCCCTGTAGTATACAAACGGCTCTGGTCAAATCTGAAAAGATGCAGGCTACTCATGGGGAGACCCAGGAGAAAGTAAGTATCACACAGACTTTTTGACGGGCCAGTGCAGGCTAAGAGGTTTTATAAGCTAGGAATCTGATTAGGCGGATCTACATATGCCACTTCTGTGATTCTGGCAAGTAGACACCTCCTTCTGTAGTGAGGAGGGGAGCATAAGGCATCTGTGNAGGCTCTGGAGGCTACTGGCGTAAGCGCATATAACCCCAGACTGTACCTGAGATCAACCTTCGCAGGAATTATCGCAGTGAGAGGTCCCTATCTTTAAAAGTGATAGTCAGTCTGAACTCAAGGCTCTCGTAATCTTGTAGGTCAAATCCTCAGTGGTTCTAGAATAGAATTAGAATACTATCCAATCGCTATGGGTACCATGGGCACATGCGAGTCGAAGGAAATGAGGAAGAGAATCAGCTGCTTCGACCCTGATAGGACCTGGGCCCTTTCATTGAGTAGTTCCCAACACGATAAAGGATGCACTCAGAAAGGAAAATACCGAGTTAAGGGAACTGCACTGGCGTAACAACACGGGTCTTCGTTAAGCGAAAAGCTTACTAGGGGGGGTCAAATCTGAAAAGATGCAGGCTACTCATAGGGAGACCCAGGATAAAGTATCACACAGACTTTTTGACGGGCCAGTGCAGACTAAGAGGTTTTATAAGCTAGGAATCTGATTAGGCGATCTACATATGCCACTTCTGTGACTCTGCCAAGTAGACACCTCCTTCTGTAGTGAGGAG